TGTTGCGATTAATTGCTAATGCTTTTATCACGGTATGCGGTATTATCACGATATTGAAATTTAGTTTTAAAAAGGTCCTGTCATAGTACAGTATAACAGGTTTAATAATTGCTCTGTGTTCTCTGCTAATAACCCGACTGTGAATGATGCGAGCGGCATCCCTATGTTGTCACTGAGAAGCTGCAGCCCTGGCCGGGAATGATTTTTTTTGTGCCGGCAGAACAACAATAACAACAACAATGCGCTACATGTTTCTTTTCCCCTCATTTTTTTTTCCAATTGACGGAAATCAGTCGTAGCAATGGAAAACTTTAATCCCTGCATAAACAAAATTTATTTCAAATTTAATTCATGCACTTTCAAGGACCTATGTTTGTTTTCAAGTACTTTCCAGGCCTTGAATCCATATGTCTGAAATTCAAGTACTTTCAAGTACTTTCAAGAAGCGTGGGAACCCTGTTTTATACATTTGATATCTTCATACCATGTATGTAGCATTTATTATTTATTTGTTCTACTGTAGTATAAATAACTATAGTGTAGTGTAGTGTAAATAACTATATCGTGATATATATTTTTTTACCGTGAAATAAAATTACTCATATCGTGGTATAAGATTTTGGTCATACTGCCCACCCCTAGTTCAAGGACAGAATAGAAGAAAGGACAAATAAGGAGGAGAAATAATTGCAGTCAATTAAACTATAAGTAAAATAACTACAGTCATCACAGCAATAAACAATGGACAAGGGCTACCTCTGGTTAACTACAAACAAAGAGTCTTAAAGGGACAGTTCTAATTAAATAATTGAGAACTGAATTCTTTAGAATAAACATAAAATATCATACAATAAAATAGTGATATAGAATGCTGAATTTTTTTGTGACAGGTGTCAAGAGTGCATTTATTGTCTATTGAAATCTATCAAGTATTTAATTTTTCTTTTTCATGGGGGAATTACTTATGTACTATGTAAGTATGTAATAACTTAAATTTCAGTCATCATATGGCATCAGAGGACTTGGAATATAGTAAGTCCATCTTAAGTGGTCCAATTTTTGTTTTATTTTCCTCATTTTTTGAGAGGTTACCTTTATGTATTGGTACTGCAAAATACTGAGACCAAAAAAACCCTGCATTTTGTTTTGTTTTTTATTAGTTTAACCACAGCCATCTTTGTGGTCTAGGTCACTTTATATCTGGTCCCAGAGATAAACCAACATGAAAATTAGTGTTTTTGTTTTTTGTTTATAGCAAATTCTCACCTCCATTCAAAAAAAAAAAAAAAAGGTTAAGTCTCAAACACACTACACTTAATACCTTTATTTAACCAGGAAAAGACTCACTGAGATTAAAATCTCTTTTCCAGGAGTGTCCTGGCCAAAATAGGCAGCCGAGATTGCATATACAAATAAACAACATAGTTACAACATACATTACAAAACCAACATATAACCGGTTAAAAACAATTACACACCATTAAAGGTAGGGTAATTTTTCAATAACACTTTAGAAAACTGATTCGGGCCGAATAGCAAAACAAACTTGTAGCCAATCAGCAATAAGGGGCGTGTCTACTCGTGATGCGGAGGAGAGAGCTTACAATCAGTTATAAATCTCAGAGCACCATGGTACAAAGCATCCAAGGAAGAAAGAAGGTAAGAGGGGGCATGCTGGTAAACCACCTAGGTACCCACTACAAAAGGTTTTCTTTTGTATATTGACCCTAAAAGTGGAATTTCGAGCAAAATTCGAAGTTTAAGTAACAAGAATAATACCAATATACAGACGTAATCACTAAAAAATTTAAATTTAACCCTTTGACACATACGATCACACCATTTTGATTAGTACGTCCAGTGCATTGTGATAAACTGCTAAATTCAAATATGCTTTCACACTTTGACTGGCACCAAGCCAGAGAAAGACTTCAGCTTGTCATATTATCACAACTGTTGTTCAGTGTTTTCAACAACGTTTATTTTAGGTCTCAGACATTTAAATACACATAAGCACAAAAACAAAACCTAAAACATGATTTTATGGGTGTAATTTGACATATTTGAATTATGTTGTTGTGTAGGTAACTAAAGCTCTATCCTCCTCCCTGTTCACCGGCCACTTACTTTCATATCTTTCAAGAGAACTAGATGAATTTACCTTTTTATAAATCGGTCAGACTCTGATTCTATGCGTTGCAGTGTAAACTAATGCTGTAATATTATAAACATATTGTGTGAAAGGGTTAAAAATGGTCAAGCAACATCTTGAGATGGACTGACCTATTGTGCATGAGTCACATGGACTACTGCACATAATTGGTGCATTTTTTTCTCTGTTTTGGGGATTGGTAGTGTAGCTCACCATCCCATGTATGAAAAACAGAGGCTCAGACATTTTCTTTAGCTCTCATTTTGTGTTTCACAGAATAAAGAAAAGGATTGGAAAAACATTGGAAGTTAATTTTTGGGTAAGGTAAAAACTGCTTAACCCACTATTCAACCCAGAACATGTACGAGCATGCATGGATATATAGAAAAAAGAGAGACATCACCTCTGAGACGGCGGGATTCTGTAGGCTGCGGGTCTGTTTGACAGCCTCCTCATAGCGGGGCGGCTCTCTGTTCTTGGGCGTCTGGATGAAAACTGGGGACTGCTGGATGAAGGAGGTCTGGAGAGATAAAAAACTGAGTGAACACTCAACTCAAAACAGAACAGCGACACTAAAAACATCTCAATAAAAGCAGGATGTGCTACCTTGTTTAGTGGCCCATTGATGAGGGATGACGGGACGGGGGACGTCAGAGGTGAGATCCTGTTATCTGGGGAGCTGCTGAGGAAGAACTGAGGTATCTCCAGGCCTGCTGGATTCTCATTGGTACCGTGCTGGAAACCTGACCTCTCGGTGGTGCCCATAGGCAGGGTCTGTGTGAAAAGTAAACCAATAGATCATGAGCATCCAGTAACACCCACTAGCATCATAGAGAGCATATGCTAAACAGTCTGGATTGTGTTATGATCTTTCTGCTTGGTATGAGAACGAGCCTCCTCAGGTCACACTGGCATGGGTCCGTCAGGCACGGCTGTCAATGAAAATGTTATCAGCTCATCACAAGCAATGAGCTCTAGTTACTCTAGTCATCCGGGACTCAGGCCAGGCTTGTTCACTATGCCAAAGTAATGGGCATCTAGCTGGGAAACCTTAGCATAGTCCCCTGCTGCCAGGACAGGCCAATTACAGTAGAGTGAAAGCCTAGAAAGAAATGAGACCAGCAACTCCCATCCATCTCACTGATGAATGACTCTGCTGGACAGACAACACTAGATGATCCCAGAGCTCACAGATTATGTTCCCTTGTTCTGATTGCTCCTGCCGGCACTGATCCTGTTCCTACTCAGATTCCACGGTTATTCAATACTCTGTAAAAAAAAACCCTCTGTAGTGTGGATAAAAGTGATATATAAGCCAGGCCAATTAATCGTTTGACATTTGGTCATCTTGAGCAGGGGTGGCGTTTCCATATGGCAGAGTATGGCATAACTGTTTCTTATCTGAATATCTTTTATAATGTATTTTATTCCTAAGATGGCAAAGCTAAATTTTCAGCAGCCATTACTCCAGTCTTCGGTGTCACATGATCCTTCAGAAATCACTCTAACATGCAGATTTGGTGCTGAAGGTCCAATTCTTAGTATTATCAGTACATTATTAAATATTATATAAAAACATATATACTCCTGTTATATAATATTTATGCTATTATATTTGATAATTATATAGTCTGTGGCAACATATTTGCATTTGGTTATAAGACCGACCTGAAATATGTGGTTGTGACTGAGCAGCTGTTGTGATGTAGGACTCTCTGCTTTGGTGGTTTGTATTTGGGGGGTCTGAATTAGACCTGGCCCTGATGGAGAGACAGCCTGCAAAACTGGCTACAAAAAGACATCAAGATTAAATTTAAGTAATGACACAAGTATATACTGTACCTAGCACATATACACAAAAGTTTTGTGTTACCTGTAGTTTGACATTAGTGTTGGGCAGCTGGATAGTAGTGGTATTATTCTCCAGGGGCACTGGAAGAAGGATCTGAGTGCCCCCATGAGAAGTGGTTAGAAGAGTCTGGGGCTGCCCCATGACCTGTGGTAGTCCTTGGTGGCTGATAATGAACTGATGGAGAGGAGTAGCTGTCACCTGGTTGGGATGGGCCTCCTCGAGCTTCAGCAGCGTTGGCGTAGTGTGTGAACTCAGTGTGCAGTTAGGAGGGACAGTGTTTTCTGTTTTGACAGATGCCAACATGGTGGCTGGACTGGAAGTGTTATTTTCTGCAGGTGGAACGACCTGTCCGCTCCTTTTCTCCACCTCTAACTGCATCTTCAGTTCCTCCACCAGCTTCTGCTCCTGCTCCAGTTTACGCAGCAGTTCCTTGATCTGTCGCTCCTTTTCGTGTAGTCTCCGGTCCTGCTCCTCAGGAACAGGAGCTGCCTTCACTAAACTGCGGTTTTGGCCCTCTGCTTGTCTCTCTGTGGATGCGTCCTCTTTGCTGTGAAGCTCTAAGGAGCCAGGAGACACAGGTGGAGTTGAGCTCAGATATTCAGAGGGCTGTTGGATGGGCGATAGGGTTGTAGTGGTGCTGGACACCTCCATAGGTGTGCTACAGGGCTGTGTGCTAGGTCCTGTGTAGTTGTTGGGTGCAGTAGTGACATTGTTTTCTTGGAAAGGCTTAAGCCGTTCAATAAGGTCTATTTTTGTTCCTGACACTGGAAGACCACGTAACTTTAACTCAATTTTCAGCTCTGCCACCTGCCAAAATAAACCCACTATTAGTGAAATTATTAGCTCTATATATATATTAGCTTCATAGAGAAAATAAAGTGATTTCTGGGTTACCACATACACCACCATACAAACTGCTAAAAATCATCTGGATTCTATGACACTTAATGAATAAGATGCACATTTACTGGAGACACAAACCATCTGAACCAAATTTTACATAATGGAAAAGTCATATTTATTTATTTATCTATTTATTTATTTTTATAGTTAAAGGTCCCATATTGTCAAAACTGAAATTTCCTGGCTTTTTTCATGATAACTGAGGTCTAGGTTCTATGTAACTACCATATAAGTTTCAAAACAGTCAGTCCACAGTAAAATTCACACAGCCTGCATAAAGTAGCTGTGATTTTTCACAAAC